GAAGGAAGGTTGGGCAATCTACTTGCATAGTGATACCGCCTCGGAAACCCCTCCATGAGTCAGGTCAAACTCGATGGCACATAACAACAAACAACAACTTTCAGATGTGCACTGCACTTGCTCATAGCACAATGTTTAACATGTGGTAGACACTCAGGAAACATTTCTCTTTAGTGTGTGCCCTGGTATGTTATAAAGAACTTGCTTCTGTTCCAAATGGGAAGGGACTGCTATCAGAATGATTGGTTTAGAGCTGCCAATACCTTTAGAACTGTAATATCTTGACACTTACTGATACTTTTGCATTGTTGCTTCTATATACCATCATCAGTGCCAAAACACAGGCACTGTCATCTGACTTGCTTTCCTGTTTTACTTATACCACCTTTAGCACACCAGCTTTTTTCTACCCTATTGGATCTTTGTGTAAATCTCACCTTGTACTTACTCTGAACTTTTAAATTCCATTCTCACATAACTCACACCAAGAAGTAAAGGAAAGTATGTTTTGCAAATGTCTAATCTAGGTGCTCCATCTACACTTTTGGGTATGAGCTCATCTCTTATGTGTGTCTTCACTTTGTACCCTAACAGTAAACCCAGCCAATACTTAATGAGAGCTTACAATCTGTCAAGTGGTTTTGTAAGTACTCTGTATGAATTATCTCATTTAATCTTATAAAAACTCTGTAAGAGTTAAATAATATGAGCGACATTTTTACAGAAGAGGAAACTGAGACACAGAAATTTTAAGCCACATGCTCAAGATCATTTACCTAGTAAGTGGTGGAACCGAAAGTCATCACTGTGCTGTGCTTGCAAATTAAATATCGAGCTAGGTCCCTGCACACTTCTCAAGGGTAAAGTGGCTGTGAGCCAGAGTGCCTGTCAGGAAGCTTCCTCCTCTTTGCTTCTGAATATCGGTAAGCTGGACTTGTTTTGAGCCTGGATATGAATTTACTGAAGTAATGTTAGGCTGATGACAAGCCTGCCTTGTTCACATGCCTTCCTTGCTTTTGATATTTAAAGTGAGTGAAAATGAGCATATCCCATCCAGTAGTCTCTTCTGTCAACGTACATGTTAGTTGAATAGTTTCATTGCTATTAGACTTGCCTCATTTTTCAGAGAACTTATTTGTTAACCAAATACTTATTTGAGTTGCGAATACTGTGAAATAAAATTACATAAAGTTTAGGAAATGCTGGGAGGTTAATGTTTGGATGTGAAGAAGTGCAGGGCCTTTCTGGATTTATCAAGTAAAACAAAAAAACAACAGAGAAGTCCAGTGTTTAAAACAATATTCTCCAATCTTTGTCTGACCAGTCACAGAAAGAGTGCTTTAGGATCAAGGTTTCTTTATATGTCTGTGAGTATTTATGTGAAGCCGTGCCATGTGGCAAGGGGCAGGGAAGATCACTGGGGTAGAGTTGGTCCTCTGAGAAGCCCATCAGTCATTTCAGTGGTAGCTGAGCTTAGCCTTTGCTCTTTGTAAATCTAGTTTCTCTAGCACTTCATTTCAAAAGAAAAAAGAAAAACTCTGAAAAACAAAACTGAAGGATGAGTATCATTGGGAAGCATCATTGAAAAGTACATCTTGAAGTGGGACTTGATAATTATGACAACTACTACCATTTCCTGAAAAGTACTCTAAGATTTTTATGTCCATTGTCTCATTCGGTCCTAAATGCAACTCCATGAGGTATTATTCCCATTTTTCAGATAAGCAAGCTGAGGCTTAAGTTTTTAAAGTAAATCCTAAGAGGAGCTCCTCTATTTGGCAAATACTCCTTGTACTTCACAGTCATGTAGGAGTTATGATTGTCTTTTTCTTCACACCTTGGTACCCCAGATTCAGTTGGAATTTTGCCTTTAAAGAAGTTTGCTGAATTGTTTATAGGATCTTGTTGAAAAGAATTGAAAACTGAACATTTCTTATTTCCTCTTCTGAGTCCTTTCTAGAAAGAGTGGAAGTGGCGAAATGGAGATTGCAACACCATTTCACAGATGTTGTTAGGGCCTATTTTGGTACCAGGCCATGTGGTAGGCTCTCAGTATGCTGGGAGAGAGTACCCATGAAAGCTGAAGATGTGAAAATTG